GAGGTGGCTGAAGCGAGTGAGCACAGGGAGCTACCCAGGGTGGGAACAGGGGGGGTCAAGAGCCCCTCGCACCTGAGGCCGCAGGAGGAAGTCCATGGCAGGCAGGGGTGAACTCGGGAAGGAGAGGGAGGGGACCTGCCCGTGCCCCTTCCCAGTCACGTGCCCTGCTGGGCCAGATGACCAATAAGGGGCTGATTATGGCACTTGGGGTTAATCATTACACTCCTCAGGAAAATCAGGAGGGGGCCACGTGGGGCGATGGCCACGTGGGGCGGGGCAGGGCGGGCCTGGGTGGCACGTGGGGCCAGGGGCGGGGCTGTTGCTGCAAACTGCCCAGAACCACTGTGCTAGGGCGCTACTGCCTCTAAAGCTGGGTCAGAGGGGGTCGCCAGGTTACAGACCCAGGGTCCCCAAAGTTCCTCTCTCTCTGAGGCTAAAGAACCTCCCAGGTCTTCAGGAGACAGCCTCCACTCCCTCCACGGGACTGGAAGTAGCATGACCCCCCTCCAACCAATACGCATCCCAGACTCCAGAGACCCCAATAAGGCCAGGGGAGGGATGGCAGCGCCCCTCCCCAATCCATCAGAGGCTCCCCTTCCTCCAGAGTCTGCCTACACACACACATGTACACACAGACACACACGCACACACCCGTTTGATGTGGACCCTCCGTCAGAGCACCTGTGGCCGTGGGAGGAGCGGTGAGGTGGGCTGGGCAATACTCACAGTACAGAAAGAATCTGCGCCCGAGGCGGGGCGCCGGGGGGCGCTGCTCATGGCCAAATCTTAGCCCTTTTCACTGTCACTGCGGCTTTCAGGGCAACAAGGCGGCGGCATAACCTGAGCAGGGGGAGAGGACCGATCACGTGAGAGCAGGCCTCCAGGCAGAAGTGCCCCGGCCTTGCTCAGCCCCCCAACATACACCCCGCCCGGGGAGGGGGGGGAAACAGGTCTCAGGGATTTCCCGCCAGCTGGCACTGACCGGTCTCCCTGTGGCTCAGGATCCTCTAGACTAGGAAGGGTTTTAGGGTGGCCCTTAGAGGCCGGAGGGCAAAGAAAAAAGTTACTTATAGGAAGAAATGAGAAAAACAGAGAGGAGAGGACTGAGGCCAAGGAGGCCACAAAAGGCCAAGTGACTAAGGGAGTCCAGGCCCAGACCCTCCAGAGAAGGCAGCAGAAATCAGGGTGGGGAGTGGAGGAGAGAGGGGGAGAAAAGACAGGCCGAAAAGGCAGAATCAGGAGCAGTGACTGGTGGCACCCAATGGGGGCTGACCAGGAGAAGAGTATCCTGGGGAGAGGCAGACACCCTGTGGAGCAGAGTGGGGAGAAGGAAAAGGAGAGACTGGAGGGAGCCCCAAACAGCAAGCAAGGGGGTGGCAGAGACACCAGACCCAGGGCTGGGAGGAGACACAGGACTGTGCCCCCTCCCCTGATGAAGTTGCTCCCTGGGGGGAGGGGCAGGAGCCCAACTCCACTCACTCAGTGGGAGGGAGGAAGGGAAGACAGCGGGCAGCGGGCACTGGCAGGACTGAGCTTTATAATGGGGGAGGGGCACGTGACGGACTGGGAAGAGGGTGGGCACAGAAACCCTGAGGTTCTGCCCTAAGGGGCAGTCCTGATCCCTCCCCTCCCCTAGGCGGGAGCCAGGAAAATATGAGTGTCAGGGCTGACGCCCTCCTGACTGTGACTGTAGGGGTGTCTGGGGAGGGCACTGTGTGTGGTGGGGAAGCAGAACAGTTGTGGTTAAGGAACCTGACCAGTGCAAACCAGGGTACTCATTCCTAGTGGGGGAGGCGGGGGTGGGGGGGCACTCAAGGTTCTCCAAAGTAAAGTACTTAATAAGTTCCCCAGTGCGTTGTTGGGGCGACGGGGGGGGGGGGGGGAACACAGTGTCCCAGTTAGGGCAAACTCGGCATAAGACAGGTCAGCGGAGGGTCAAACAATATACATCTGGGGGGTCAGTCCAGGGTGGGGAGCCGGGAGCAACACATTCTTGGCAAGCACTCCCACTCAGCTGACGCTCTCTTCACCTCCCCCTAGCAGGCCTTCAGCCAGATCACGTCTGGTGTGAGGGAGAGGGGCACAGGGAGGCCCCCCCCACCCCCGCCTGAGAAGGGCGTGTGGTGTCTTGGGCACCTGCAGGTGCCCCACTCCCACTTCCAGGCTGTGCCCTCAGTGTACTCCTCCACCCCCCGCCCCCCACCCCCTCCCCGCCGTCCCAGAACACAAAGCAGCTTCTGTCCAGAGCATCGGTGCCGATAATCCGGGGTGGGGGCACATTCCGGGACCAGCCCCGACCGGCCCGGAGGATTAGCATCTCCCCCACCCCTGCCCAAGGGATTAGCACCCCGGACCCCCACTTGGGCATTAACCACCCCCCAAGTGAACTCGCACATTCCACAGCTCTTCGACGTGTGGCTGGTGGGGGTGAGGTGGGGGCGGAGGGAGGAGGATAAAGTGGATTTCAGGCAGCGCCGCCCCCACACTCAGCACCGGCTCCCCCCCCCGACCCGCCCGCCCCCCCCCCCCCCCCCAGTCAGGTCCAACTCTCCAGGCTCATCTTTCCCATCCCCACCCAGGTGCTCCCTCTTCTGCCTGACCCCTTGTCCTGACCTGACCCGACACCCCCTCCCTTCCCAGCTCCGCCTCCTAACCCGGAGGTCGGGGGTGGCGGCCTGCGGCGATCCCCAGGCTAAGGCACCCTGGACGGGCCTTAAGAATAGAGCAGGGGGTCTTAGGGAGGGGGTATCGTCTGGAGCTCGCCAAGGAATTGGGAAGGCCGGCGGCGCCTCCCAGAGACTACCCTCTCCTGGTGGCAGGGGGCGCGGCACCCTCGATTTAGGTAACTCTAAAAAACGGACCCCAGATCCCGCTCCCGACCCACACTCCGCGCGCCTCCGCATCCTTCTCCCCAAGACCTCGCTTCCCCGCGCCCCAGTCTCCGCCCCTTCCTCCACTTCCACTCCCTCCCTGCTCTGAGTCCCGAGTTCCCCCCTTTCCTTCCCCCTCCCTTCCTCCCTCCGCGGCCCTGGCCCTCCTCCGCCGCCACCTCTCCGCTTACCCGCTTGCTCTGGACTTCGTGCCCCGGGGGTCTCGGGGTCTCTCCCCCTTCTCCGGAGCCCTCGCGCGCTCCCGACGACTCGCTAGTGCCCACCTCGGGGCGCACCCCCGCCGCTCCCAACTTCTCCCAACTCAACTTTCCCCCGCGCCGCGGGCAGGCCAGCCCCCTGCGTGCGCGCCCCCCCGGCGCACCGTGCGCGGCCCCGCCGCAGCGGGTAGGGAGGCGGGGAGCCGGGGCCGAGACCCGGGACGGAGGCGCGCTTCCAGACACCGCCCCGCGCTGGGAGCCCGGCACCCCAGCTGCCACCCTCTCTCCTTCGGCTCAGTCCCGTGAGGCCGCCGCCCGGGCTTCCCGGCACGGGACTTGAGCACCCTGAGGACGCCGTCTCTTGGCCGCATTAGGCACCTCGGGGCGGAAGGGAGCCCGCCTTACGCTGGGGATCCCAGGCAGGAAAACGGCGACACAAAAATGATCGGGAAATTCCGGGCGGAGGAACTTGAAATAGAATGCATCGGGGTCAAGATTCTCCCCCTACCACCCCCCTCCCCACCCCCTCCCCAGTAATCCCCACTGCCTCCAAGAAAGGCCGCGTCTTTGCCTGGGGGACGGGAGGGGGTTGGCGATAGGGGTGATTGCTGCTGGAGGTTGGATTCCTATTACCCTGAGCTGACCTAGACTTTTCGAACCGGGTACTTGTGCCTCCGAGAGATTTCCCTGTGGCGACCTCCCTCCTCGAACCCTATTATAATCATCCCCTGCCATTAAAGATCGCTCTGTGTATTTCTGGTTTTCTCAACTCGACGATAAATTCTTCCAGAGGAGGAGTATACTTTTCTTTTTAAAATTTTTATATTTTTTAGTATGCCACCAGGTGAAGCACAGCTTTGTGTTTGCCAAAAACGGTCTGGTCTAAACGAGTTAATTAACAAATGTTTAGCACCAACTATGGTTTGGGTGCTGAGGAGTGCTGTTTGGGGCCGTTTTTGTCCAGTTCACAGCCCTCAAGAATGCAATCATGAGACAATTAGAGAGGAGAGCAAGAAAATCTATAATCAACTCCTTAAGGGATGAGGTCAAGGCTGCTGCAAGTATAGCATCTGTCTGTGCTTCTGTCTGTTGAGGGCGGTAGCCGACCTGCCAGTCCTCGGCCACACCCTGGTTGACTCCGGTGGGCCCGGGCTCTCCAGACTGGTATGGGGGCGGGGGGAGGGGGACTCCCAGTGTTCCAGCCAGCTTGCCTTGGGGTGTCACAGTGTAGCGAACGGCTGGAGTCGGGTGGGCTCCGAGACGACACACGGGGCCGAGGGCAGAGAGGGGTCTCTGGCGTAAGTTAAATCCAGGGGCACACCTGCCTCTCTTCCCAGCCTTTGTGGTTCAGCTGGTCCCTGTGAAGTCATCACCAAAACATGGCTCGGAGCCATTCCCCAATCAATCCTGAGGTCTCCAGATGGCCTGGGGAGAGGTGGAAATCCGTAGCGCGATTGTCAGGAGGTCGTTGGAACCTCGACACCATCAGTCGCGTCAGAGCGCAGCTATCCGGGCCGGGGATGCAGGCCGCCAAACCCCAGAGAGCGCCCCACCCCCACCCTACTGCATTCTGGCTGTGTAGTACCAGAGAAACCCTTTTCAAAAGAAGGTTGTGATCACAGAAAGGAATAACAAGAGCAGGGCACACTGGGAGCTGTGGCGCGATGGCTGTGAGGCCCGGAAAGCGGACACGCGATGCTTCCTGGGGCTTGAAGTCCAAGGTTTTCCTCCGCGGTCGAACCGGGGCCCCGGGAAGCGAGTGCTGCAGAGAACCTTCGCGCAGCCTACTGGGAGTTGTAGTCTTTTTTTGGCCTAATGCCCGGGACATTGCTGGGAAACCTGCGTACCCTTAGTACTACACGGCCCAGAAGCCCTTGCGCAGGCGAGGCGGGGGGAGGGGGAGGCGGGGCAGGGCCGGAGGCTGGGGTGCCGCCTCCTCTGCAACGCCGGGGCCGGAGTCTTAGAACCCAGGGCCCGTAGGGGTCCCCGCGGCTGCCGCGATGCAGAAATACGAGAAACTCGAGAAGATTGGGGAAGGTAATGGGACTACGAGATGTTCCTGCAAGATCTTCCTCTACAGACCCTTCAGCATTCCTTGCAGCCTGGCTCCTCTACCGTCAGCAATACCCACAGGCTCCGACCTCAGCCCCGACTGCAGCCCTGGCCCCGAGCTCCACACTCCTTGCGGACACCTGTCCTTCCCGTTAGCATTTCCCGCAGACGCCCCTTCCCAACCTTAGCACTTCCTGGAGACCCACCTGCCGACCTTAACACTTCCTGCATCTTCCACCCGTAGCCTCAGCACCATTTGCAAAACCTCACCCAGCCCCCAGCCTCAGTTCTGGATGCAGACCTCCAACCTCAACATTTCTGCCGACCCCCACTTTTCTCCCAGACCTGCCCACCATCCCCAGACCCTCCGGAAGCACCGCCTTTATTATAGACCTCCTTACCCTCGCAGCCACAGCCTATCCCTGCTGCAGACACGCGTGAGCCATCTATCTACAGGCACCTTCTCTGCCCCTTCGTCACTTACAAAGCTCTGCAAATGCTGAGCCTTTCACCCTCAATCTCTTCCCTTACTCGTCCAGACATCAGAAATAACGCACACCTGCCTTGCCTGCTCTCCTGACAGGGACTTCCTGGGGTGGGAAGGGTGTCCCATCTTTACCCTCGCCCCCGACCTTCCTATAGGCACCTATGGAACAGTATTCAAGGCCAAAAACCGAGAGACCCATGAGATTGTGGCTCTGAAACGGGTGAGGCTGGATGACGATGATGAGGTAGGACTGGGACATCAGGGCTAGGGAGGGGGTTGAGGGCCCAGGTTGGGTGGGATGTGACTGTTGCCCACCCGGCCCCCTCCCATGTGTAGGGAGTGCCGAGCTCAGCCCTTCGGGAAATCTGCCTACTCAAAGAGCTGAAGCACAAGAACATCGTCAGGTGTGTAGATGGGCAGGGTCCTCCTTGCCTGTGTGGTCAGTTGGAGGAGGGGGGCTTCAGAGATGGGCTGGGCTGATGCTGGGACCAGGGTTGGGCTGATACAGATCCCTTGGGGACCTGAGGCTGAAACTCGTGGACCTGCCCCGCTGAGTCCTCCCTCCTCCCTAGGCTTCATGACGTCCTGCATAGCGACAAGAAGCTGACTTTGGTTTTTGAGTTCTGTGACCAGGTGACAGGGGGACTTGGGGGCCAGTAGCCTTGGGGGAGGGTATAGGGGCCCAGACTGAGGTTAAACTCTGTCACGTTCGCCACCCCCATCCCTTTTTAGGACCTTAAGAAGTATTTCGACAGCTGCAATGGTGACCTAGATCCTGAAATTGTAAAGGTGAGGGGCTAGTGTCCTGGAGACTCACTGAGGCCAAGTGGCACTCTGTCTTCAGCGTATGCACTCTCTGAGCACCAAGTTCAGGGCCTGAGCGGGGACACGCTGGGGTGTCAGAATGAGAAAACCCTGTCTCTACCCTCCAGGAGCTTTCCGTCTGAGCAAGCATCTTGACATGGTCTCTTTGATCTGACAGTAATACTTTGATATCAGTGATACGATTTGCATTTGAGAAATGAGGAAGTGAGAGTCAGAGAGATACGTTCATTCATTCATTCATTCACTCATTCATTCATTCATTCATTCATTCATTCAACAAACACCTATTGGATGCTTTGCTGTATGCCAGGCACTGTGCTAGGCCCGAGTGCCTGGCCCCAGTCCCAGGGGAAGCAGCGCTGAATGATAATACAGCACAGCATATATATTGATGGCTACGAAGTGTGTGCTTACCTAAGGCCAGTTAGGGGAGAGATCAGAGTGGGGGGGGGGGGGAAGGCCCACCAGGCTGTAAGTTCTAGAAGGGTGGGGAGCAGGGCCCCCACATATATACCTATATAAAATGGGTATATAATACCTACCACCGTACAAAGCAGGTCCTCCGTAGCAAAGCGATGAGGTTGCTGAAAGATGGGTGGGGTTTTGAGGCTAGCAGAGGGTGAAGAGGGGAACATGACCCACTACTGGGTGCAGCTTCCTTCCAGAAGGTCTGAAGCTCTCCCCCCCGCCACCCCTCTCCACCCCACAGTCCTTCCTCTTCCAGCTGCTGAAAGGCCTGGGATTCTGTCACAGCCGCAATGTACTGCACAGGGACCTGAAGCCCCAGAACCTGCTGATAAACAGGGTACCTCCTGGGGAGATGGTGGGAGGTCACTGGCTGGAACAAGTGATGGGGGGAGCTGGGCTGGGAGGCAGAAGAAGGAGGCCTGCCCTGGGACTGTTGAAAACCCCTCTCAAAGTCCCTTTCCATCTCCACTCAGAACGGGGAGCTGAAATTGGCCGATTTTGGCTTGGCTCGAGCCTTTGGGATCCCAGTTCGCTGTTACTCAGCTGAGGTGAGCTGGAGTGGGGGTGGGAGATGGGGGTGAGGGAGGGGGTCCCCTCTGAGCATCTTTCCGTCTCCTACTCCAGGTCCCACACAATTGTTTCCCCTCCTCACTGAGCCCCTCCTCCCCAGTCCTCTAAGCAGGGGGGTCGCTGTGGGTGGGGTCTTCTCCAGGTGGTCACGCTGTGGTACCGCCCACCGGATGTCCTCTTTGGGGCCAAGCTGTACTCCACATCCATCGACATGTGGTCGGCCGGCTGCATCTTTGCAGGTGACATGCCTGGGGGTCTGCGGAGCCACTGTCTCTCCCATCTGAGTGGACAGATCGGGTCTGGAGTGGCCCCTCTGGGGAAGGGAGTGAGGCGCTTGGGGCTGGGGATAGGACACACAGAGGGTGCCATGGGAACGAGGGGTTCTTCATACCCCACTGCACCCCCTAGAGCTGGCCAATGCGGGGCGGCCTCTTTTCCCGGGCAATGACGTAGACGACCAGTTGAAGAGAATCTTCCGATATCCTTCGACATTTCCCTTTGCCTCGAGCTCTCTGAAGGGGAGTCAGAGGGGGCACCTGGCAGGCTCGGTCGGTAGAGCGTGCGACTCTTGACCACGAGGGTCACGAGTTTGAGCCCCACGTTGGGTGTAGAGTTTAATTTTAAAAACATGAAGGGGAGTAAGGAGCCTGTGGAGCGCAGAGTGCATGGGCTGGGCCAGGAGAGGGGGTGGCTTTGGGCGAGGGGATGGAGGGCGGACACCCCGGTAGGGCAGGGTTGAAGCTGTCTGCTGGAGAGTGTGTGACCTGTGACAAGGAGGGCTCACTTGGGGGAGTAGCCGTGAGCGTGTTCTTCCAGTTGAGAAGTGAATCCTTAGGACGCAGGAGCCAAAAGCAGCGGGGGGTGGTGGGGGGGGGGAGGGGTACATGTGGGAGTAGGAGAAGGCCGACTGGTTCATCAGCAACAGACATCGGGGTTTATATAGGTCAGAGGAGTGAGCGTTTGTAAAGTGCCTGGCGCGCCCCGGGAACACCCTGCACGTGCTGGGTCCTGCCTCTGTCATGAGCGGTGGGATAAAGTGAAGGGTGTGGAGGTGGGTATATGAGAACCCCCCCCCCAGGAGGGGAAGAGCTCCTCGCCCGCCCCTTTCCACCTGAGTGATCCTTGACCCCATGGACACGCTTCTGGGGACACCAACCGAGGAGCAGTGGCCTGCCATGACCAAGCTGCCAGACTATAAGGTGTGACGGGGAATAGCGGGGGTCCCTTTTGCTTCCCAGCTGTAGCAGCCTCTGGGCCCCCGCACTGCTGGTCTGACTCTCCCTGCACCCCGACCCCCACAGCCCTACCCGATGTACCCGGCCACAACGTCCCTGGTGAATGTCGTACCCAAGCTCAATGCCACAGGGAGGGACCTTCTACAGGTGACCGAGGGCAGGGGCCGAGGGTGGAATCCAGACACTTGTCAGGAGGTCTAGGGGAGGCTGGGGCTGGAGGCAGTTAACCCAGCCTGAACCCGCCTTTCTTCGCGCCTTTCTTCACGCCTTCAGAACCTCCTGAAATGTAACCCCGTCCAGCGCATCTCGGCAGAGGAAGCCCTGCAACACCCCTACTTCTCCGACTTCTGCCCCCCGTAGGCTCCAGGACCTTGGCCGGGCTGGGGCCTGGCCTATTTAAGCCCCCTCCCAGGAGGGGAGGAAAAGCCGGGGGTGCACGGGGTGCTGAGCTCCAGCTGTGCTGGGCCCGGCCGGGGTGGGGGTGCCCCGGCCCGTGTTCTTCGCTCCCTCCGTGGACTTTATTTAATTTCATAAATTGGCTCCTTTCCCACAGTCTGGCTGATGTGGTAGAGTGGCTCTGAGAGGCGGGTGGGCTTGGGCAGGGGTCTCTGTTTTACCGCCCTCTCCGGCCTTGCTTCTGGCTCAGACCCAGCCCAGTGGTCCAGCCTCTGCTCCACTACTCTGAGTGGCCTGACACTTGGGGGCTGGGGGCAGCGCCCCCCACCCCTGACGGCTGGGCTCGGGGCAGTACCACCCCCGCACATGCGCTTATGCTGGCAGCCAGTGTCAGAGTAAGGATGCGCCTGCGCCAGAATGGGGAGAAAAAGGGCGGGGCCTTTCTTCACGGCTCTCCATACCCCACGTGTACCTCCCCATCTTTCCCTTCATCCCCACCCCCCATCCCCAGGCTGATAGGCTGGGACAGCAGGGATCCAAAGATGCGGTTAGACGAGGAACATCCCTTCCCCTGCTCCCTTGTCAGTTTTCCAATATTTGAGGTACAGAGAAAGAGCAAGGATGGGGCTGTAGCTGGGGCCAGGATGTCTTCTTACTGGCAGGAGTGGGAAGGGAAGGCCTCCCTCCACCATCTCAAGCTGGGCCCTTCTGCTCTTTGGGAAAGTTGGAGACGCAGAGCAGTTCCCATGGAGACAGGTGGTGTGCTGGTGCTTGGTCCCAAACATGAGAAAAGAGTCATGATCTAAGGCGGACAGCAGCTTGTGTTCTTGGAAGTGGCTACACACCCTCTGTCCTCTCCCTGCCCCCCACTTCTTGCCAGGCTCTGGGTCAGAGCCTTCTTCATCTATTCCCTTGTGTGCCCCGAACATAACTGTCCTCCCGCTGAGTCCTCTTTGCCTTGATACCTGGCTTTGGACTCCTTTCTCTCTGAGATGTCATTTCGATAAACTCCTTCATGCTGAGGTGCAATGGGAGGACGCCCTCTCACTAGTCTTTTCGCCCAGAGAGATTTGTGGTGGTTGACTGGGACCCACCTGCATCTCAGACGCCGTCCACTGGAGGTTGGTGGGCGGAGGTCTTCTTTGACCTTAGCCTGACTAGTCTGGCTGTGAGAGAAACAGCTGAGGCTGATGCACTAGAACTTTATTTGGGGTGAAGAGGGCAGAGACATGTGCAGGCTGGGCCCGTCCAAGATGTCAAGGTGCAGCCCGGAAGACACAGATGCCAGGTCTAGAGCCGTGTGACGAGGTAGCAGGTGCGGTGGGAGGCAGACAGAGTCTTGGTGACGGCACAGGGAGGGGTGGGGGGCCTGGTGAGACCCAGACCACTGCGCTGGGACAGGAGGCCTTGTTCCCACTGCCCTCCCCTCCTGAACCTCAGTGTCACCCCCTAGGCTGGACCTGCCCCTCCTCCCTTGAAATAGGGAGCCATTTCTTGTTACCTGGCGCCCAGGCTGAGGTGGGGAACTTGGGTTCCATGGCTGCCCAGCCCTTCCTGAAGCTGTGGGAGGAGGGAGAAGGTCAGAGGTGGGGAGGAGTCCTCCCTCCCAGGACCAGCCAAAGTCACTGCACGCTCCTCCCCCACCATTCTTTCCTCAGCTGGGTAGGGATGGTGTTCTAGGCTTCAGGGGAAGACATTGGAGATGGCAAAGAAGGAAGAAGGGTTTGTTACCAGATTGGTGCTAGAGTGCCTTTGGGAGTGCTTCCGGTTCCAGAAGTATCCCAGGACCCTGTCTTGGAACACCTGGGGGCAAGCAGTGGGGGAAGTGGCCATTGCACACCTTCTCCTGGATCTTATGCACTGATTCCTTCCCCCTCCCCCAGCTGGGGCTCAAGCCCACCTCACAGAGGTAGTCCAGGATCTCAAGGATGGTGAGCAGGCTGGCCCCGATGAACAGCCCCATCTGGCCCCCAATGTCGCCTGTGGAGACCAGGTTACCCATCAGCTCACAGCCACCTGCCAAGCTCACACCTCCCCAGACTTCTGGATGACCTGGATGCGTGCGCGCGCGCGCGCGCGCGCACACACACACACACACACACACACACACACACACACACACACCGAGCAGTTCTGACACTTCATAGGCCTTTTTCTGCTCCACGGTCTCATAGTTGAGGGCCTCAAAGAAGATGTCCAGCACGAGCACGTTCTCTCTGGAGGAAAAGAGGCCAAGAAAGCTCGCTGGACACCCCCAGGTGATAGCTGCTGGCAGGAGAGAGGTGCGCGATCTCCCGTCTGTGACTCCTCTTAAGAGCCCCGGGACGGGTGTCACGGCCCCGTTTGCAGAAGAGATGCTATCACAAAGGTTAAACAGCTTGGCCAGAGTCCCAGGAGCCCCGCGATGATGTACAAGCTGGGCTTGCACCCGGGTGTGCGCACGAAGGCTCGCCCGCGGGAGGGTGCCCCCGCCCTTCCCCCCACCCTGCCCCGTCTGGTCCCGGATGGCCCAACTCACACGATGTAGGCCTCGCTGCGGTTGTGTTTCCGGGCCAGGTAGCGGGCGGCGGCGCGGCTCGGGATCCGCACCATGGAGAGCTCCTTGGCGTAGCGCGTGCTGGCGCAGGGGTTGGGGCAGGTGCACGCGTCCTTCCGCAGCATGGCGTCTAAGGGCCACCACAGTCACCTGAGTCAGGGCCACCCGGCCGGCGAGTCCGGGAGCCGGAGCCGAGCGGGGGTGGGGACGCGGGGGAGCTCTGCCCCTTACCCAGCGCCGGGTCCGCGCAGTCCTTGTATTGCTGGGGGCTGCACACTGGCGCCCCGCCTGGCGTGGTGGGGGAGGAGACCGCTTCAGGAGCAGCTCCCAGGCCCCTTCGCCGTACCTGGACCCCCGCCTCCGCCCCCACCAGCTCCTTACCTGGCATATGCATCATTCGGCAGCCACACTTTCGAGCCACATAGCGGGCCTCACAGGCCAGGCGACACCCCATCAGACTATAGGGGGCTTGGGGGCCTGGGCTGGGGCTGGGAGGACCTAGGGGACCAGAAGGTTCCGGCTCAAAGTCGGGGTCCAGAGGTGCGGAGCTGCAGTCACCCCAGGGTGGTGGCAGGAAGCTCAGCTGTAGTTGGTCGGGTTAAGGAGGCTTCGAGGAGAAGTGGGGCGGCCAGGTGCAGTGTGAGTGGTCACCGAGATGGCATGCCGAGGGCTGGAGGCCCCTGGGATGGTCTGAGATGTTGTGGCTGAAGGAGGGGGTTGGAAAAACCCGTGAGGATACTCGCTGTTGCTGGCAGGACACGAAGGTCTGGTAGCCGGGGGCTGCCCCGAAGCCCAGCTGGTCGATGGTGGGCGGCTCCTCCTGGCTGTGGATCTGCACTCGGACCCCCACCTCGAATGGGGTCTCCTCTGCAGGGGAAAGGGGGACCCTGACGCCTGTGTCCCAGGAGCCCCCCTGCTGCAGACGGCTTGCCCCAGGACTGTGACTGGCCAACCCTGCCCACCCTCCTCCCCCTTCACAGGAGAGGATGTACTCCTCTGGGGCCCTTCCTAGAGCCTCCTCTCCTTCCCATAGCCTTTTGTACACCATCTCTACCACCCCTCCAGCCTGACACGGGTGCCCCCATACCCATGTCCCTCCACACGGGCAGATACTCATCCTGCTGCACATCCAGCATGATTTCCAGCCCGTTGCCCATGCCGCCCTTGGGAGTGGTGAGCAGTTCTGCCCCATCCGCGCCAGAATTAAAGGTGTAGCACTGACCCATCCGGGTGAAGATCTGTGGGTGAGCAGACGGGGGACAGACCTCACCAGGGGACAAGGAGCCCGGCCAGCTCTTTCCCCCAGGCAAACATGAGACCTCTCCCCTCCCCGTCCTCTATGTGGTCTCTTTGAACATGGAACCCACATCTCAGTGCCCCCGGCCCCTCCCACTTACCAGCACAGCTAGTTGGACCCTTGTGGGCTCCCATTACCGCAGCCCCTCCTCCCCCTTCCTCAGCCCCCCCAGCCCCCCAGCCCGGGGCACAGCCTGTAGGACAAGTGTGTCTTCAGAGAATGGCAAGAAAGGAAGTGGGTCTCAGTTGCCCTCCTCCAGGACTGGCAGAATGTTGGAGAGGCAGAGGGAAGACAAGCCCACTCCCCCAGGCAGGAGAGCGTTCTGCTCTAGAAAGGCCCCACTAGATTCTCCCCAGGCCCCAGGGGCAGGGGCTCCACAGACCAGAGCTCGGGCCCAGAGCCAGCCCCAGTGAGTGCCCTGTGCTGGAAGGCATGACCTTGTACATTGCAGTCCAGCTGAATGGCAGGCAGGGGTCCCCAAGGAGGGCCGTCTCCTGGGCTGGACAGAAAGGCACTGGTGGGGTGTGGAGCCCGTCACCCGGCTGGGAAGGAAAGGATCCCCGGCACAGGTGTGAAGGTCCCCTAGCTTAGGAGGAGCCTGGGCCAGCAGGGCTGGGGGAATTGCAGGTCCTGGGCAGGGACTGGCCGGGTCCCTGGTAGGCCGGGCCGGCAGCCAGCTCACCACGGTGAAGTTCTCGGGACCGCACGGCCAGCCTCTGTAGCGGCAATCCAGCAGCATTTCCTCCAGGGCGTGTCCGGCCCTGGCGTACAGTCGAGCCATGTCGAAGGTGGGACTGGGCATGAAGCCGGGGGGCGCGGGGGGCCGGCCCAGGGCGCGCAGGAAGGCGGCATGCTCAGCGGGCTCCACGCCCAGCAGCGCGGGCCCGGCCCAGTGCAGGTCGTTGGGCGTGAGGCGCGAGCGGCGCAGTGGGTTGATGTTGCACAGGGTGATGGCGGGGAAGGTGAGCCGGTGGCTTTCGCGCTCGTCCAGGGCTGTCTCATGGTGGAACTCCCCATAGTAGCGCACCCTCTCAGCCACCTGGTAGAGGAAGGCGGCCAGCGACAGGAGCACGGCTGCGGCCCAGAGCCCTCGGCGAGGCGTCAGGCCCCCAGGGCCGAAGACGTGGCCCAGCCCATGCATCGTGCAGCTGCTGGCGAACACGCGGATGTCCGAAGCTAGCCGCCGGGCCTCCTCTGGCCCAGGATGGGGCTTCATGGCTGAGGTCCAGGGTGGGGGACACTGAGAGGGCTGGGGATTGGCGATCAGGCTGCAGGGACTTGGAGAGAGGAAAGAGGGTCAGTCCGAGGACTGGGAGGGACTGAGGATTTGGGGGGCCGGGCAGGGGTCACTGCAGGGAAGGAGAGGGGAGGAGAGAGTGGGGAGAGGGGCCCAAACCAAGAAGCGGGAAGGCACTGGTCAGGCAGGTTCGGCTCGGCTGTCTCGAAGGAACCAGCCGGGGCTCCACTAGGCTCAGCGCAGGGCCGGGGGCTCGGCAGGAGAGGCCAGGTAGGGCGCAGCCGACTTGGGAGGCAGGGGCCGCTCTGCTGGAGGCTGCTCTGCAGAGCCAGGGCTGCCGCAGAGGATTGGGTTTCAGCAGTGAGGGGGCAAGGGGGCCCGCAGAGCAGTCTGGGGGGGGGCAGGGAAGGTCCCTGGGGCCCCAGGCTGAGCCATTAGTGCAGCGTGTTGGGGGGGAGGGGCGTGGCTGTGGAGGCCAGAGGCGCCAGCGGAAAACCACAGCAATCCTGGGTAGGGCTTGAAGGGAGTCTGGAGAGATGTCGGGGCTGGGGGTGCCTTAATGGCCCTCTAGGTTCCCAGCTGCGGCCCTTGCGGTTGGGTGGAGGGTCAGTTGCTGACCCTCGGCCCGGTCCCTCCCTCCTTTTGTCTCTCCTCCCTTCCCACTAACCTCACTTGGGATAATTTGCTCCTTCACAAAGAGAGGAGTTGGCTCTTGACCAGGCTGGAAAATGTTGGGAAGTTTGGCATCGGCAGATTCGAGCCCCCAGCAGCCTACGCCGCGTGGCCAGAGTCTCTGCAGGTCTCAAGTCCCAGAGTGGTCTGTCTGAGTGTCCTCTTCCCACCTCCCCACGCTGAGGCCTCCTGAGAGGCTGGCCTCTGCCACAGTGACTGCGGCACTCTCCGGGGGAACACGGGTGCCCTAGAATTTCACTTTTTTTTTTTTTCACTTAAAAACATTCTGGAGACTGGAATTACCTCGTACCTGGAAAGCTTCCCCATTTTTTAAATGGATGCATTCTATTCCACTATGTGGGCGGACCAAGTTTTATCTGCTCACACTCCCATTGATGAACAATGGGTTTCCAGTCTTCCATTGTAAACAATGGTGCTCTCAATACCATTGCATGGTTGTAAATTCCCAGAAATAGAACTGCTGGGTCAAGAGGCAGCTGAATGGATAATTTGGTAGATATCACAAAACTCCCCACTGTGGGAATTCTACCATTTTGCACACCTGTATCATGGTGGGCAGTGTGCCTGTTTTGCAGGAGTGGGCGGGGTTTTTGTTTTTTAATTTTTAAATGTTTATTTATTTCTGAGAGAGAGGGAGAAAGGGTGAGCAGGGGAGGGGAGACACACAGAGAGGGGGAGTCACAGAAACCGGAGCAGGCTCCAGGCTCTGAGCAGTCAGCACAGAGCCTGATGCAGGGCTCGAACTCACAAACCATGAGATCATGACCTGAGCCGAATTTGGACGCTTAACTGATTGAGACACCCAGGTGCCCCTCTTCTTCTTTTTTTTTTTTTTTTAAAGTAGGCTCTGTGCCTAACATGGGGCTTGAACTCATGATGCTGAGATCAAAAGTCACATGTTCTACCCACGGAGCCAGCTGGGTGCCCCTGCAGGGGGCTTTTCTAAAGGAAGAGATACAGTGCCCCTGATCCAGCTGGGGTGCCCCGGGCCACAGTGCCCAGCATGGCATGGCAATGCCAGCCTTGAGAGGGCAGAGCTGGTACATTTGACTGAAGATGATGCCGATGATCCAGAGGAGACGATGGGGCGGCCAGGGCAGGACTCCCAGCAGCTGGAGCAGACAGACACCTCCAGGAAGTAGAGCGGTGGTCCGAAAGGCTGGTACCTACTGGCCTGCAGTGGGCCAAATGTGTCGTGCTGATCCAAGGCATGGGGACAAAGGACAGCAGGAGAGCCTGGTGGCTGAGGGCTGGGGGGGGGGGGTAGGGGTGGGGTCAGCCCAGACACCCCCCAAGGAGGATGGCCAGGGCCTGGTGTCCAGCCCCGCATTTGGTGAAGTAAATTTTCACCTGCCTGTGTACCGGGAATGGGGAGACGCTGTACGGTAGGCCTGGGAGAACACAGGTTTACCTCCACTCATTTATTTACTGAGGCTTATTTCACTTGAGGCCGCCGGGCTCACACTGGCGGGCTCCTGGCCATGAGTGGAAGAAACACAGTGCGCCAACGGACCATGATCATGCTGTGCTGTCGTCACCTGTCTGTCCTTCTGACAAGACTTTCACGGGGGCGGGGACATCCTCACGCCCATGGCAGTTGTGCGGCACATGATACACGGATCTTGGAAGCAGGGAGTGAACAACAGTTTATTGTACACGTGACCAGCTCCCGAGGCTGTGGCACTGGGAGTTTTAAGTACTTTACCACAGATCATCCCATTTCAACTCTTATAACAAACTCTCAGGATGAGGTACCGCCAGGCTTATGACCCACGTTGAATAGTCGCCGAGGCCAAGGTTGAGGCTGAGGCCACGTGGCGAGCGTGAGGCTGACCGCACAACCTTCCGGCTCAAGGCCCACCACAGACCTCACTACTTCCCTGGGTTGGGGGGTGGGGGAGCTGGGATTTGGAGGCCACCCTGAAGAGGTCCGGAGAGACCGGAGTCTGGCATCAGGAGGGGTCTCTGGGGGGGCTGGGGCTGGAGCTGGGGGAACAGGAGCTTGTCTGCTCTCTCTCCCTGGGAGGGGTCTGGCAGGCCGCCGTGGACCTGGCTGGGAGCGGAGGCTGGCTCTGGGCTGTGCCTCCTGGGTGGGCGTTTAGCGGCAAAGCAACCCAGAGCCAGCCCACGCGCTGCCCCCCTGGGCTGTGGCCGCCCCGGCAGTGACCTCTGATCTGTAAGGAAGCAGGTATCAAACCTGGGTGGCTGTGGCCCGGGGACATTTCAGGTGCTTTGTCCCAGAGGAGCATCTGCTCCTAAGCCACACCCAGAAGAGGCTGCGGGGCCTCCTGCACTCACACCTGAGCCGCTGCTGCTTCTTCCAGGCTGGCCTCCGGCTACAGCGGGCTCTGCTGGTCCTACGCACGGCTGCCGCCCCTGACACAGGGCACTGCCTGTCCAACTGATTTTGTGTTTTGTCAGCCTGGGGGCAAAGTATCAACTTCCCCCTAGAGGTTTGGTGACCGCCAGCACCATACAACCCTTGTGGCTGGAGCCTGGGGTGTGTCGGTTCCTCCTTAGTCTCCTTCAGGGCTGGGTGTCCTCGTGTAAGGGGGCTGTCCACAATCTCACAGGGTGACGGAGACGAGGTGCACGGGGCCAGGGCAGGGCTGCGATGGCTTGGTGAGCCGGAAGCTCCTTGAGGAACAGACCATGGCATGCCCTGCCCCTTCTCCCCCTTCCCACGGGCTGGAGGCATGTGGGGCACTTGTTCCGCTGGACGGGAGTGGGAGGGGGGGATGAAACCTAGAAAAAGGACCATTATTCACGGAGCAGGGAGGAGGGGAAGCTGTTCTCAGGATGGGGACTGTGGGTTCGAGGGCCTGGCCCAAGGGGCGGGTTCCTTCCCCCAGGGCTCAGAGAGGCAGTGGGGACGGAGGACAGAGGGGAGTCAAGCTAGGACGGTGAGGTCCTGGCACGGGTATGGGGAACCCCAGTGTGAACTCCTGATTTGTACAGAGGTGGGGCCGGAAGCCTTTAGGCTATCAGGTAGGGGGATACTTGGCAGGGTTCCTGAGAGGGGTTGGGAGGATCTGGGCAGAGGGAGGGAACAGAGTAGGGGCCTGGGGACTCTGCCTCCTCTGTGCAGCCTAATGACTCATGGCTCTGGCAGGAGGGAGGTAGGCAGGAGGGGGAAACGGGGGCGGGGGGGCGGAGGGAGTGGTCCCGACCTCCCCGCCTCCAGCTCAGCGAGAGTCCCAGGTTGCACTGTGAGCAGGGGAGCAGCAGCCCACACCCCAGCGCACTGGTCTTCCTGGGTGTTTGGTCCCTGGGAGCTCCCCTGAGCCGAGCCCCAGTCCTGGGTGCCGATGTTCGGCGGCAACCAGACCTTAAACAGCTGCTCTCAGGACTTGGGGTGGCGGTTCCTGGGGCCTCTGGGCATCTCGGGAGCTGGGACATCCAGGGCCTGTCTCCGGATGAGCTCCGCATAGAGCCCACCCTTCTTTAGGAGCTCTTCATGGGTCCCCACCTGGAGAGAGGAAGGAGGGGCAGATGGTCACCCCAACACAGTTCACAGCCCTAGGAGGGCTGGCTTCTTATCAGCCATCGAGCTCACTGTCCTCTCAGCCATCGTCCCTCCTGGAGACACTATGACCCCAGAGCACCGGCACGTCTGAACTCGCTAGTGCCATCTCCCTGCTTAGCTGGGTTTTGGAAGAGCATCTCCCTTATGGAACCCAGAGACTCCAGCTTTCACTTGAGTGAGCAGCTGGGAGCTGGGGGCCGGGCCTCATGCAGCCTCCCGGCCTTGCTGCAGACCAGCCTGTGGAGAACAGCTCCCGGCCAGCCCCTTTCCAGGGTCCCTGGTGCTGCCTCTGCTGTACCTCAGCCCCTAGGCCCCTTCTCCCTGGCGCTCCACACTTCTCTGAGTCCCTTCCCTTCGGTTCTGGGAGTCATGAGGTAGTTCTACTACCCCACGGGACAGTGGAAGAAACGGGCCCTGGGAGGCCAGGGCAGGAATTCCTGAATCCACACAGGGTGTTGCCTCCAGAATACGCCCCAGGCTCCCAGGGCCAGGCCAGACCCTCACAGCTGAGCCACTCTTTCCACTGCGTCCACGGCTGAAACTGTCCCAACCCACTGCCTGGCCCCCAGCTGACCTCACAGACTTGGCCGTGGGCCATGACGACGATGTGGTGGGCCCCACGCACGGTGCTGAGCCGGTGTGCGATGACCAACACTGTGCGGCCAGTGCTGGCGCGGTCCAGGGCCTCCTGCACGACCCGCTCGGACTCTGAGTCTAGTGCGCTGGTTGCCTCGTCCAGGATCAGCACCGTGGGTTGCTTGATGAGGGCACGGGCAATGGCTAGGCGCTGCTTCTGGCCACCAGACAGGGTTGCACCCCGCTCACCTGGGGAGGAAGGGGACAGGGCAGGGCCTTGAAGCGATCTTCAGCTCTGCACTTGGGGGCGGCCCTACAAAGGGGCACCTGGGCCGTCTGGAACTTTCCATCTGGTCCCTCAGGCTCACCCCCTTGCACCATGCACATTCGCCTGCCTCGGATGGGTCAGCATCTTGATCCCATAACTCTGTGCAAACGCACACGTGCACTCACACCAGACAGCAGGAGGGGCACACACTCGGGATTCAGTGCACCCTGGAGACACCCAATGCCCCTCCCACACCGGGGTGGGGTCTCAGAGCCATGCCTGGGCCTGTGGCTCCAGCTGCCTTCTCCTGGCCTGCTGGGTCCCCGCCACCCTGGGGACGTCCACGACCCAGATGTGGGCCCTGGAGTGTAGTGACGGCTTGCCATGGGGCATTCTGGGAAGATCCCACTTGGGGTCTACCATGCTCACAGGAAAACAGCAGAGGGGGCAGACTGGGAGTGAAAACCAGCACCATGGGGACGGTAGTCAGAGGTCAGCAAGGGCACACTAAAGCCCCAGATGAGCCTGCTAGTGTGCTGGGGTCAGAGGTACAAGGAAGGTGCCTCTTGAGAGGTGTGGGCACAGCACCTCCAGTCGGGGGAGTGTGGACTCTGGGTGGTGACCAGAATGGGCTGGATCAGTAATAGAGCGTGGATGATGGCTATAGACAGGGGTGGTACCACCCCTGAAGCTCAGCCAGACTGAGGCCTAAGTTTCAAGATGCGCCAAGAACCCCAGATATGCCTACACCTTGAGACGTGCCAGAACATTCTGCAACACAGCCAAGGACTGGGGGTGATAAACATGGCCCCAGAGGCTGAAAAAAAGACACCTTTGTGAATGCACAAAGCCGCGAGCCTCGATGTGAATATTCTAGTGTGAGGCCGCAACACTGCAACGTCCCAGAACCATGAAAGCCCTTCTCTGGGTAGGTCAGAAGGGAGACCTGTTCAGTCACATCAATCCCTGTGGGTAACTGGACGGAAACGCTTTTAAATTAAGGAACAAAAGGGCAGGAATGAAACAGGAGCCTGAAGCACGAGGAATTACAAGAAGATTAGCAGTCCAGTGCTTCTGGTCCCGTCTTAGGACGTGGAGGCCGCTGGGAAGCTCTGAAGGTCCCTGACACCACAGACCCCTTGCAAGTGTCCCTGGCTGGGTCCTGCGCCTACACTTTCTGAGGCATCCCCGTCTCTGCAGCCTGCGTGTGGTTGAACCACAGACCTGTGTCTGCCCCCCTCGGCCACGGACCTAGCCTTCCCTGATGCCAGGCCTGTGTCCCTGTGGCATGTTCACGCAGGCCTGGCAGATCCAAGCAGAACACTGTCCGCGGGACTCACCGACTATGGTGTTGTAGCCCTCGGGGAAGCTGGTGATGAACTCGTGGGCATTGGCCTCCCGGGCAGCTGCGTAAACCTCTTCATCCGAGGCACCCAGCTTCCCAAAACGGATGTTCTCCATGATCGTCGTTCCGAACAGGACTGGCTCCTGCGGGTGGCGGGGTGGGTCCACATGGGACATTCTGACTTTGCCCCAAATCCCGGAGGGGGGCAAAAAGGCGATTTTGGCCACACCGGAACTGGCCTCTTGCAAGGCAGGTAGGGGCAATTCAAAGTTACAAGTCCAATAAGAAAAGAGAGATCCGTCAAAGTGGGGAGAGGCCGAGCTCCCTGCAGGGCACAGGGTCCCTCAGGAGCGGGATGGGGAGGTGGCTGGGCCAGCTGGCCTGGCAAAGCCTCTTCTCTTGGGAGAGATGGGGAAGAAGGGGGTGTTCATTCTAGCTTTCTCTGCAGTGGTGGGTTGGTGAGGGTGCCCTCTTTATCCAATCACGGGAGGAGGGTGGACCCTCGCTGGGGGGCACCGCCTCACACAGAAGGAAAGAAGTGGGGCCAAGGGCTTCAGGGTGGGGCCACGGGGGCTTGCTTAGTCAGGGGCGGGGGTCTCTAGACCTTCTGAACACCACATGTTTGTCAGAGGACCCAGGGGTCCTAAAATAGGGTCCCACTGCACCTGGCTGGATGGCAGTAAGGGAGGAGCAGAGTTCCTGCCCCGGGGAGGCAAGGGCAGAGCTGCGGCGGGCTGGGGAGGGCAAGCCCCAGATCCCATGGCCGCTGGGGAGCCAGTCAGGACGGCCTCAGCCCCCTACTCCCGCCCCACAAAGAGAGCAGGGGTGAAGTGGGCGGGAGGGAGGAAGAAGGGGAAAGGCCCAGGTGCAGTAAGGACCGTGAGAAAAGACAGACGGCGTCTGCAAGTCGGAGACACGCTTCCCACCTGGCTGATGAAGCCGATGACCTGGCCTCGGAGCCAGGAGGGATCGAGGGTTCGCAGGTCCCGCCCATCCAGGGTCACTACGCCGGCCGTGGGGTCGTAGAAGCGCTCGAGCAGGGAAGCCACCGTGGTCTTTCCTGGGGAAGTGGGGTTGGGGGCACGGGGCGGTCAGGGAGGTGGCATGGTTTCTGGAGGCTCTGCCAGGAAAGAGGAACCCCCGGTGACAGGTGAAGGGGCCCCTCCTCCCACCCCACGCTGAGTGGTTACCGTAGGAAGGAAGGTCCTAGGGTGGGAGGGCGGGGGGTTCCTCTCACCTCCGCCGGACTGGCCCACGAGGGCCACGATCTTGCCAGGGGGCAGCGTGAGGCTGAAGTCTTCGAGCACCTGGAAGCCAGGGCGGCAGGGGTAACTGGAAGGAGCCAACGGAGATCCTTAGTTAGACCAGGTCCTGGCCCCTTTCTGCCCTGGCCCCTGCTCGAGTCTCACTGTACCCCGAGGCAGGGCTCGTTTAGAGGGAGACACGGACCCACAGGGCCTCACGCCCCTGTGCCCACCCGCTGATGCCGCTGACCTGAAGCAGACGTTGTGGAACGTGACGGCCCCGCGCAGGTGCTCTCTGGGGATGCAGCAGCCCCCAGCCAGCGGAATGCACGGGCTCAGAGTCATGTACTCAAACACCCGGGCACCCGCACTGAGCCCCCGCACCACCTGGGGAGGGGGTTAATTAAAGTCCGAGGTGAGGGAGGGGTGGGGTCTGAGGGCAAGGCTGGCAGTGCAGCCCCATCTCCTGACACCCCCTCCACCTGACACCTGGTTCCTGCAGCACACAGGTGATGCTGGTTGCTGACAGGACTCCAGCCCAGATCCGATGTCCACACCACGGGGCCCGCCCCCTGACTGCCACTCACCTGGCCGAACAGGACAGAGAGGTTGGCCATGGACCTGTGAGGAGGAGAGAAAGATTCAAAGAGTGGGGACAGGAGCCCCAGAGAAGGCTGGTGCCAGAGGGAAGGGTATGGGTCTCAGCTGCATGGGGGCGGAGAGGACGTGGCGCGTGAGGCTAGGAAACGGGCAGCCTGAAGGCAAACACAGAGGATGTTCCTGAAATCTGGGACAGCAGGAGCCCTGGGATCCAGCAACACCAGATAGTTCACTGGCAGGTCGCTTCTCCTTGGAACCACATTATCTCCTTGTTCTCTCCTTGGCCAGATGAAGCTGACAACTGTCTGCCACTTCAGGCCTGGGGGCTCCGGGGAGATGGGCGCGGGAAGCAGGCACGGGGCTCAGGGGAGCTGGGCTCTGCGCTGCCTGCCTGCACCAACAACACAACGGAGAGCGCCAGCACCGTGAACAGGTCGGGGCCACGAGGCCCATGGGGCAAGGTCAGCTCTAGTGCGCTGGACTCCTGGGGGAGCAGGGGCTAATTAAGGTGGAAAATGGATGTTAATCCTTTCAGAGAAAGAAGGAACTCGAAGACCCTGGAGCATGTGAGGGGTGGGGGATGGGCCCCAAAACAAAGTTCCATAGAGACGCTAGCGCGAGCTTGCCCTGTGTAAGGCATGGTGCGAGTGTGTCTCTGTCCAGGGGGGTCACCTCCTCTGCCGTGCAAGGCTGTTGGCTGCTGGAAGGTGGAGAGTCATGGTTCTCAGTCACCGGCCCCTGACCGGGCTGGCCAGTCCGCGACAGTGCGCGTGTCTGTGAGTGTGCGTGTGGGTCCTCGAAGTGGAAAAGACTGAGCGCCTTGAACGGGAAAGTCACTTCCTCCAGTGCCAGGGGTGAGGAGGGGAGGGGCCTGCAAGGAAATGGTTCTGGCAGGCTCAGAGGGTTACTGGCATTTGCCGGAGTGAGTGGAGAGGCATTGAGCAAGGAAGAGCCAGGACAGGGAGTTACCTGTGGACGACAAGGGAGAACATCCTCCACAAGAGATCTGGAGGCCATTAGGGCCTGGCAGAGGTGCCCGGCAGCAACCAAAAAGCAGATGCACATGACTCGTTGGTGCGCGATGACCTTGCTCTCAGAGACAGCTCAGGAGGCAGCCCTGAGAGCCCTGGCGGGGGGGGGCGGCCCATTCCCGGTGAGGCCAGACCTGGATGTAGACCAGGCGGCCTGGCCCTGACTGTGGTCTGTCTGGGTACCTCTCCGTCTCCTCCAGAGACCCAGTGCCACAAAAAGAACACCTAGGATGGGGGTCTAAAGATTGAGGCTGCCTCCCTCCCCTCCCTTGCCCTGCTGGACCCCAGGAGGAAATACATCAGCCTCCTAAATAGATCGAATTCCTCCAAGGTGGGTGGTGAAGGATCTCCATGTGGGGAGGGCCCCCCACAAAAGATAGTCCTAAGGCCCGTGGCTGTGGGAGCAGCTCTGTGTAGCAGCCAGAGAGAGAGACAGCATAGATGAACTTCCTAGGCTTTTCTGTTTGTAAGAAAGCTCTGCTAACTGGCTAGCCCATGCTGTGGGGAGGAAAGGAAAGGGTCGGAACTCAGGCCACAAAGGGAAGTGGGGGCCCATACGAAGGGGAGCCTGATGGAGGAGGGCCAGACTCGGGAGGTGTAGGGAAAGGGAGACCTTCCCATCACTGCCTGTGGAGGGCCATATGATGACTGTGTGCGTGGAACCAGGCGGGCTTGTCGGGCTCCTCAGGACCAGAGCACGAGGCCAGGGCCTAGCCTGGGGTCTGTGCCAAGTCCCACCTCTACAACAGTCCTCTCGGTCCCCAGGCTACCAGGGAACAGTTCCCAGGCTGGAGGAGGGATGAGGCCACCCAGGGTCTGAACTTCAGAGAAGGTGTGAATGGGCCCAGATACGGGAGCACCAGACACAAATGGGGCCAAGGATGGGAGTCCTTTATACCAACCCATCTTCAGACTGGCTCCAGTCTACCTGGGACAATAACAAGGCTGATGACGAGGGGCGCTGTAAGAAACAGGCAGGAAGATACAATGCAGAGCCCGGCCACGAGTGTCGGAAGCAATGGGGGAGGGGCACGGAGGGGTGTTTGGGGTGAGAGTCTGTTCTCTTGACGTGCTTGACAGTAATTCGGGTCTCTGCTCTGCAATGATTTCTTACAGCATATTTGCTCCTGTTATTCATCACGACATCTACTTATGCTTCACGTGTTCTCACGTATGCGGTGTGGGGGAGAGATAGCAGGAACTGCTAGCGTTTAGCTCACAAGAGAAAGGAAAGGGGAGGCCTTGGGGGTTTTGAGCAAAGGGAGCCGAGAGGTCCGGGCAGACAGGCCCAGTGGGGCAGGTAGATCGCAGAACAACGAACACAGTGAGCTCCAGGCTGGGAAGGGCAGGGGAGAGGCTGAGCCGCTCAGCCCTGGGAAGGTCAGAGAGGATGGCAGGCGAGCTCGTAAAGAGCATGTCAAAGACGGTCTATCCGTACGTGGAATCTCACTTGGCCTTAAAAAGGAAGGAAATTGACACAGGCTACGCTATGGACAAACCTGGAAGATATTATGCTGAGTGAGATAGGCCTGTCACCAAAGGACAAACGCTGTGCAATCTCACTTACGTGAGGCACCCAAAGTGGGCAAATCACAGACGTGGAGGTTGTCAGGGGCTGAGGGAAGGGGTTGTGGGAGCTCAGCATTTAACAGCTGGTTTCAGTGCTGCAGCATGAAGGGCGGGAGACGGATGGTGGTAACGGATGCACAAACTCTATGCTTACAAACGGTTAAGATGGTAAATTTGACATTACGTGTGTTTTGCTACAATGACCAACTTTTTAAGAAGCTGTCTCGGAAATTTTGGAGCCGTTTAGGCGGCCGAAGATGTCAGCTGCATTCCTGAGCGTACAGACGGTGAATCAGGTCACAGGGTGCTCATGGATGGCACGGGGGCACTCTCCCCAGCCAGCCCCCGGGGGGGGGAGGGCCACCACCCCCTGTCCCTCCACTCAGCAGGGCTCCTGCAGGACGGGGACAGCCTCACACTCACCTCTGCACCGTCTGGGAGGCCACCAGGAAGGACATGAGGTCTCCCCCTGTCAGCTCCTGTCCAGCCACGAGGGAGCCCCCAATAAACAGAGTGCCTAAGACCATGCCTGCGTGTGGAAAGGGACAGACGGTCAGGAAGGTGTCTGCCTGGAATAGCGTCTACCTGTTTCGTGTGGAAACGAGTGTGTGTGTGTGTGTGTGTGTGTGTGTGCGTGCGTGCGCGCACGTGTGCATGTGTGGTGGTGGAGCTCACGCACCTGGTACTCCTACAGATGTCTGAAGGACATCAAGCAGGCGGAGAGCCGCCCCTCCCCTGCGTGGCTGGGACCTGCCCTTCACTGCTCCACGCTCATCCCCAGCCGTGACGGGGCGCGCCCACACCCCGGGTGGGGACTTGCTCACTCACAGTTGAAGGCAATGTTGGAGAGCCCCTGGAACAAGGCGATGCCCCTGCCCAGCTCCTCTGCCTTACAGCGGGACCCCTCCAGCTCTGCTCCGTAGCGTCTGGGGAGAGAGGCCAAGCCCGGCTGTCAGGAAGCAGTGGGCTGGGGTGCAGGGCTGCTGGGGTACATGCAGGGAGTCCTCCCTGCTTCATGCTCCTCTCCGTCTGGGACTCACTCCTCTTCCCGATGCTCCATGGCGAAGGCCCGCACGGTCCGAACGTTGCCCAGGGCCTCATCTGCTACGCCTGTCGCCCTTGCAATCTGCAAGGAGTCCAGGAAGTAGGCGGCTGGCTTGGGGACGGGGAGGAATGGCGGGGCAGACAGAAATGGGGAAAGCAAGGGTGGCAGGAATGCTGGTACCTGCTCCTGACACTGGCGAGACAACTTTCGGAGAGCCGAGCCCATTAGGGTGCCAACTCCCATAAGAACGGGTGTGGCCACCATCAGCAGCAGCGTGAGGCGGGGGGACAGCATAGACAGGGACACCAGGCAGCCAGCCACCTGGGTGCAGCTTCGCAGTCCCTGGGGGAGAGAAGGGACGCAGGAAGGCTGTTTGGCATCAGCACCACGACACGGGGACTTCACCAAGGGTCCACTGGCTACAGCGGCCAAGGCCGCTTCCCAAGGCCAAGGCCATGAGTCTGACCCTGGAAGGCCAACCAGCAGTCCACCCAGTCATAAAGCATGACCCTTTCTCTCCTAGCAGGCACGGAAGGCCTGGGTGAGAATGTCTATGGACCACAGCCTCCTTCCCCCAGACAAATCCCAATTTGCTTTGCCTTTTGCTTTAGGAACTGAAAAAAAAAAAAGAATTGAGCAGGAACGTCACCCAGGGACTGCTATGGGCCAGTGTGAGGCATGACCCAGCAGCCACAGTGACCATGTGGGTGGATGAGAACAGGACATCGGTAATGCAGTAAAAAGCCTTTACTCGTTCTCGTTAACACTTGTCAGCATGCCAGGCGTTCTGGGGGTAAGGCAGGCCAGGGTGATTTTGCTCTTGGCAAGCCGGTCCAAGAAAGGCTCTTGTCTGAGTCCTTGGGAAGGTTTTCCGGGGAGGTAGAATTTCAGAACAGGAGCGAAACAGCCTGTCCTGACCTTGGACGATACCACAGTACCTCCCTTCCGTGAACTTCCCCACTCCCTCATCCACACCCTCACCAGACAGCAGGCTTCTCACTTGGTGCGAGCCTAGGCTCAGAGCCCAACAGCAAGGTGGGTGGGGCTGGCCTGATGTGTCTACACTGGGGTGTGTGTGTGTGTGTGTGTGTGTGTGTGTGTGTGTGTGTATACACACAGGGGGGCCTGGGGAACTGACCTGGGAGATGACGAGTTTGAAAGATGATTTAAACTCTTGCACATCAGCTGTCAGTCGGCTCACCAGCTGCCCTGTCTTTTTAGCATCGAAGAAAGCAATATCTTGTCTGGTGGTAGGTCAAGGGTACAGTAGGTTGGGGAGAAGAGGAGACATTAATTTAGGACAAGACCCTGCCCCTACATTTGTCCAGACCTCTGGGGCTAGCAGTTCCCCCTGCCCACACCCTGCACTGGCAGTACCGAAGCAGGTTGCTGAAGAGGGCCCTCCGCATGTCCACGGCCATGCGCTCGCCGATGCGGGACAGCAATACCAGGTACCCGAAGGTCAGCAGGCCCTGGGAGAGAGGCCGGGGCACTCAGGGGCGCCCAGGAGGCTCCTTTGGGTGCCCCCAGGCCCTCCCTCCTGTTGTACCTGAATGCCATAGAGGATGAGCAGGTAGGTGCTGAGATTCCGGGACTCAGTCAGGAAGCTGCCCACATGGTCCCTTGTGTACTTGGCCACAATCTCCACCAGCTGGCCCAGGAGCAGGGGGATCTGCACATTCACCAGGGCCGCACCCAGTGCCAGCTTGGGGAGGGGGGGGGGGCAGACATTTAGAGGGGGCCATATTCTTCCCCATCCCTGGCCCTGACCTTGGCCCTCCCTCTCCTGCAGCTGTTCATGTTTGGCTAACTGTGTGCTTCTTCGAGTTCCAGCCCAGGCTGCCAGAGCCTGGGGATTCCTGTACCCTGCACAGCCAGCTGCCCTGTGCGGGATCGCCTGGCATCCCTTGGCTTCCAGTCCCTAAGGCAGCCAGCCCTTGCTGCTTCCTGAGGTCTATCCTGAGACTTGGTGAGGCAGACAAGCTGCCCCTGTGCAGCTCCAGCTGGTGCTTCTGCAAACCCCTGGCTGGGTCCTTCCCTGTCCCTGATGTGGGCGAAAGGGGAGGGGCATCTCACCACGATGGCTGCCGCCAGGACCAGCAGGTGGGGGCGCAGAAATTGCCAGAAGAGCTTCCAGTTAAAGCGGGAATCCCCGACACAAGGTCCGGAGCAGGCAGGAGGGGCCTCTTCTGCCTCACACAGCGCCACAAGGCAGAAGCGGGGGCACTTACTCAACAGCACGGGGCCCAGAAGGATGCCCCCAACCCAGCGCCAGGCAGAGGGTCTTTGGCTGGGAGCTGGAGGCGCTCGAAGGAGGTGAGCCCGGAGCTGGGAGCGCAGCTGGGCCACAGCCCTGAGGAGGTAGGAGCTGTGGCGGCCATCAGAGCACCTGTAGGGAGACAATGGCATCGATGGCTCACGGCCCCAAGTGAACTTCAAGGGAGCAATCAATCAGGCCGGCTCTGGGCTGAGGCCTCTGGACAGCATTTCTTCCTCTATAGGGTCCTACGCGACCCCTCCCAGGGCTGTTCTTTAGCACCTCAGTTTCTAAGAGAAACACATTGAGGCCAAGTCGCTGAGGAGCAAGACAATAGTCGGTAACCAAGTTGGAAAGGTGCTCTCGCCGTGCCATCAGACAGCTGGGCCCCCTCAGCCTCCAGGGACCCCTCTGGTCAGGGGCCATCTCCAACCCACGTTCTTTCTGATCATGGGACATCACTTTGGACGGCAGCTAGTCTGCGGGCACTCCTTTTACAGCTGAGGAAGCAGAGGTCCTAAGTGAATCTGGTTCAGAGAGGCAAGAGGAGAGTGCCCCCTGGCCACACCCGGCACTGGGCTGGCTTGCAGTGGCGATGCCTGGCCCACGTGGCCTCCGTGTTGCCAGTCAATGGTCCGGCTGTGTTTGATCCTCCCTTCTCTGGGAGGGAGACGCCCTTATTCTCACTTGATGGAAGAGAATGTCACGGGGACTGAGAGAGCTGGAATAATTTGTCCCCAAGCAGCAGAACCTGGACAAGAGGGGAACCCTGCTGTGTGACTCCAGAATCCAGGTTTGTTCTAGTCTGCCACGTGTGCTGTGCCCAAGGCTGGGTGTGGCAGGGCCTGGACCGGCCCCGTGTCTTCTGACCCCTGGTCACTGTTCATTGCACCCCAACACCCAGACTCCTCCCAGGCCCCGAGTGCTTGTGTGGCAGCGTATGGAGAAAAACAGTGACACACTCCCTCTCTATCAACTGAAGGAGAAAAAAGAAATTAACAATCCAAATAATGTATCTCGTCATCTCAGACCGGCCCAAATCACCTTCTCTGGTCTGCGGTTTCTGCATCGATACGCGGTGATGTCGGGTAGAGAGCCTACTGCGAGCCCACACTCTGCTGTGAGGCACGGGGAACAAGAGGTAAACAGAATAGACCATGTAACTACCCTCATGGTGGGAAGGACTAACAGCTAATGACAAAGCTTGCTGAGTGTGAAAAGGGGAACGGCAGGTGCTCAGAGCACAGACCACGAATTCCCTGGGTGAGGGCATCAGGAGAGGCCTTCCTGACCAGACCCGAGGGAGAATGGGAAGGAGCTGGCTAAGTGAAGGTGGTGGGGACAAAGTGGGGGAGAGCTGTAGGCAGCGGGGAGCGTGTTTGGGACATGTGCAGGTACGAAAGAAGGAAGAGCTGGAACCTGAAATACAAGGGAGAGGAGACATGGGCAGGACAGGCATCGAAGTTTTTATAGGACAGCTGGACTTTAGAGGGCAGTGAGGACCATTCGTGGCTTTTAGGCTGAGGTATGACATAATCAAATCTGCATCTTAAAGATCACAGCAGAGGGGAGAAGGCTGGAGAAGGGCAAGCCTGGCTACGGGGACCCTGTTACAAGCAGAAGTTATTTGGCCAAGAGTAAATGGTGGGATGTTCAAAGATTCAAATGAGGTTCTCGATGGGGAGAGGCTTTTAAAAACCAATACGGGGACACCTAGGTGGCTCAGTCAGTTAAGCGTCTGGCCTTTGATTTTGGCTCAGGTCATGATCTCATGGTTCGTGAGATCAAGCCCTGCATCAGGCTCCGCGCTGACAGCGTGGAACCTGCTTGGGATTCTCTCTCTGCCCCTCGTACGATCTCTCTCTCAAAATAAATAAATAAACATTACAAAAAAAACACAACAACACAAAAAGGGTCACTTGGGTGGCTCAGTGGGTTAAGCATTCCACTCATAATTACAGTTCAAGTCGTGCATAATCTCACAGTTCATGACATTGAGCTCTGCACTGGGATTTTCTCTCCTCTCTCTGCCCCTCCCCTGTTTGCACACATTCACTCGCTCTCTCAAAATAAATAAACATTAAAAAAAAAAAAAGGAATAAATAGAATGAGGTTTTTCCTTATTCGGATGGTCTTTTGTGTTCTCAGATGCTCCCAACTGCAGACTCCACCTAATTTTTCCCTTGTTTCAAGGAGGCCCGGGTCCTCTCTGTTATGCCTCCTTCCACCCCATTCCACATGCCTGGCTTTTATGTCTCATTTTCCACTGTGTACTTTATGTCTACCCTAAATTTTAGAGAAGCTCATCTTCCTTCTGCCCAGTGTAATTGTCCAATTTCCCCATGAGACTTTATATTCCTCGAGGGCAGGAAGCTCTATCTTATCCACATTCACCCCCAGCACTTAGTAGAGTTCTTGTACATAACAGATATTCAGCAAACGGTTATGGTTATGTTTGTTGAGTGCATGCCCTTGTTAGAAATGCAGAAGGGAGGGGAGCCTGGGTGGCTCAGTCGGTTAAGCGTCCGACTTTGGCTCAGGTCATGATCTCACGGTCTGTGAGTTCGAGCCCCGCGTCGGGCTCTGTGCTCAGAGCCTGGAGCCTGCTTCAGATTCTGTGTCTCCCTCTCTCTCTGACCCTCCTCCATTCATGCTCTGTCTCTGTCTCAAAAATAAAAACATAAAAAAAAATAAAAAAAAAAAAAAAGAAATGCAGAAGGGAAAAATCTGACCTGTCCTGTTGCTGCATTGTTTGCAAGTTGTAGACTTACTGAGGCCTACAGTAAGAAGTATGTTGTAAATTGCCACCCAGTACAATAAACACAGGTCACACAAAATTGAAATGCTTCACAAAACAATACTCTCCCTAATGTTAAAGCGGGTATTCTATTCTATTCACTTGTTTTAAAAAGTAGGCTCCACACTCAACGTGGGGCTTGAACTCAGACCCTGAGATCAAGAGTCACATGCTCACTAGGCACTCTCTATTACATTCACTTTTACATGATCCTACGCACTACGTTCATTTTCTGATCTACTGTGTTGTGACTTGCACATTTGAAAGACATTGCACTGGTGGGCACACAAATACTTGCATATTATCTGAGGTTTCTCTCCGGGTTTCTCTCTGGTTTAAATGATATCAACACCCTTACTCTCTTCCTAAGGAGTGTTTCAAGCATTTTAATAATTTACCATGGTTACTTTCCAGCTTCTCTCATCTCCTCCAAACTAAGACTCTAAGCAAGGCTTGGTCACTGCCAAGAACTGGCAAATTACTTCCCAGCAACGGTACTTCTAGCTCCAGCTTGGCCCAGCTCTTCTCCTCTTTCAATCAGATGGGCTTCAAAATGACACAAGTCCCTATCCGCTCACCCCTGCCAATCTGCTGCCTTCCTGGCCCACAGTTATTCACTCCAGGATCAGAAAGGAATCCGTCCCTTCTCAAAAGCAGTTACACTGGAGTCGCAGTTTCAGGGTCCACGTTGGTTTCCTACCTGCCTCTCTCTCTCTCAGGACCAACGTGTGTAAACACACAAAAACACACATGTACGTGTTTCTAGATTTTTTTTTTTTTTTTTTAAATCTCTGCTGAAAACATCCAGATCTAGGAACAATTTCTGTTCAGCTCATATTGAATCTTGGGAGCAACACCAACACTAAATGTCTCTGGACACTAACAGTTTTTGTCCAAATTGCCACACCAATTCCAAGAAAGAGGACAGGGAGGGGGCAGGAACAGCACCCAGGCTCGACACCTGGCGCCCTCTGGTGGGAAGCACGGACCCGATGTGGTCACCGACCTAGAGCGTTCACTCCGCGCAGCCCACAGGCGGATACAGACGGGCCGAGTCTCCTGCTGGCACCTAGGTAGTCGCTATAAATAACTGAAGCCAATCCCTGGGGAGTGACATTCTACCCCCGGGCCGGCCTACAACTTCCAGCAGGCCTCGCGCGAGCCCGGGACTCCATGTCCCGGCAGGCCCCACGCCCCGCCAGCCGGTCAACGGCCCGCGCTCCCAGTAGGTTTGTCACTTTTTACCTGACGGCCGCGAATGTCTGGAAGCGGAGGGGTAGTGTCAGCCTGCCTGGGACAGGGCCACCCCGAATTCCGACCCGAAATAAGTGCACCAACATGATGGGACGTGAACACAGGAGCAGCCGGCAACGGCAGCTTCACCCTCATCCCATTGAGGGCTCCATGTTGGCGCCGGCCCCCATCCCGACAACCCCCTCGCGCCTCGGCGACGATTGGCGGAAAGACGCATCAATCTCGTCGCAAGCTGTAAGTGAAGAAACCCTTTTCGGTCCTTCTTCTTCCGGAAGTGTGATTGGACAGAGCCGACTATCCGCCCGCCCCCGGCTGTGGGCGGGGCCGAGCAAGTGGGGCATTGCTTTCCGCCTACTGCCCGGGCCAGCCCTGGGGTGACTTTAGCAGCGTGTTCTTCGTGCGACCCTCCACCACGGGGGTTATCCATAGTAACGCGCCAGCGTTACCCGGGACCTCGGGGTTGCTGGTCTATGGGTGCTGCCGGCGGACTCTAGATGTCCCAGGACTTCTAAGGAGTATAGAGTGTTGGTCCTAGGGGACGAAGGGACCCAAAGGGGCCTGGGGAATTTTTTCAAAACATGTGCGCGTTCCATGTGATGCATCCCTTTCTCCCCAGACAGATCAGAGCTCCAGGGATGGCAGCCACGAGTATTTGGGAAAAAAAAATTATCCTGGTGATTCTGATACACTCCGCCTACTCAACGATTGAGAACCACTAGTGTGGAGGTCCCGTATAGCTTATGGAGGCGCCCCCCCCCCCCCGATCCTTCTTTCCCACAGATGCCTTCTTACCGCAGTCAGGGTGATTGTCTAAGGACCCCACCTCCCAGCTTTTGCACCTCCGTTAAACACTTATTTATTTCTTCCGTGTAATTTGCATAGTTACCCTCCCCCCCCCCCCCCCCTCCCGCCCCTCCACGGTCTATGACTTCTTTCTGGGTAGTGATTCTGGCTCATTCATCCATACTCTCTTCCCCTCCAAGTGGTGCCTGATAGAGAAAAGTGCCCTTTATAATAAATTAACTTGAATTGGGGTGCTGGTAGGGCAGCTATCAATGAATGAATCAGGGGGGATACTGGGTATGAAAATGTGCCAGATTAGCTTGAGGTTGGGCTGGGTGTATGGGAGGGGTCCTAATGTGAATGTGGTGGAATACTGGGGGGAGGGAGGTTGAAAAGAGATCAGGCAAAACCCTACACAACCTGTAGGCAGATGTCTTGGCAGAAGTCTCTGAGATATGAGAATTTCCTAGCCTCTGCAATGTGGGATTCCATCTTGGGCACTAGGATGCCACCTCTAGAAGGAGTTCCGCCTCCTGCTCAGGGATAAAACTATGCAAGCCCCGAGCTAAACAATTCCTGTCCCAGGAAGGCAGCACAGAAGGAGAAAAACAGGCATATCTGGTCTCGTGTTTTGTGAGCAATTCCAAGATTGCCTCCACATTCCTCCAGTTGAACACACTCTAGGAAGCACTTTGTTCCTCTCTCTGTTTCACAGATACTGTCCCCTAAGACAGCCCTCAGGCCCAAGCCCTGCAGGCCCTGACACCTGGGCAGCTGAGTCAGCACCTCAGGAATGGGCTTTAGTAGCAAACCTGGTGATTCAGGGCCCCAGGAATGGCGTCGAACATGCCAACAAACCAGCTGCCTCCTTCTCCTCCTTGAGGTGGCAGAAAGGAACTCAACCAGCTCATCCCTGGGTATGCAAATTATCCTTCCTGATCCTGGCCCCCCAGCTGCCCTCTGCTGGTTCAGCTCTGATGCTTCTCAGGGGGCCCCCCAAACTGGATGAGGACCGGGGAAGAGAGTTTCGGTGTTTCCCGAGATAAAGAGGAAGACAAAACGGAACTCCCAAGGAGCCTTTTTCTACCGAAGCTCCCCAAACCACTCCTCACTTCTGGAATAGCTCTCTCCTTTCTTTACCTCCTCCCTTTCCTCAGTTTCCTGCAACCTGGCTGCCCAGTCTGGCAATCTCCCCTCCCCTTCGTATTGGCAGGCAAGCAGAACACCAGCCTTTTCTTTTGTTTTTTCTTCTTTTTGCTTTTGGTCTTAAAGCCTTTCTCTGTGGATCCCTGTGTGCATGTGTAGAGAGAGGAGACCAGGTTTCAAGAAATCAAAGATGTAACATCTTAGCCTCATAGCCTTAGAATCCTTCGGTAGGAGTTTCTTTCGGCTTTGTTATTTTGGCTGCTACTTTCTGGCCTTCCCTTTAAATCCATTCCAGGTCTGAGGAGGGGACAGAAGGTGTCTCTGGTCTGCATGTTCTCCGCCTCTGCCTCTCCAGCTTGTGCTCCTCCCAGGCACAGAGGCTTGGCCGTGACAGGTTTGGCCGCAGATTGCCCTGGAAGGGGTGTGAGTTGTCAGACAGGTGACTGCCGGCTTGGACGCCTGAGGCCTGCCCTGACTGAGTCACCTTGCTGTTGTTGTCACCATCCTTGCTGGAGTCCCTGCTCAGCAACCCAGACCTCTGTGGATACGGCAGCAGCTCCCATCCGTCCAAGCTTTCAGGACAAGCTACTGGCCCGATGGTGAGGCAAGTGGGCTGGGGGGGGAACCGAGGGCGGCTGGGGCGGTGGGGAGACCTGGGGCCTGGATCAGTGCCTCTCCTCCCCATGCCGCTGCCCCCTCTCCCTCCTCCTCCATGTCGGGGGCCTGGCAGAGGGCGGATTTCCATCTTCTCTCTGTCCCCTGCCCCTCACACAAGAAGCTCCCCTTCCTCGGTCCCTCCCCCAGCCCTGGGACCCCCCTGCCCAGCGATGCAGGCCCCAGGGGGCTCTCAGCCTCCCCACAGTGCCCTCCCCACCCCAACAACGCAGGCAGGGCCCGCGATGACACCCAGCTCTGCTCCCCCCTCTTGGGGCTCCCACTCCACCCCATCCCTGGCCCCAGTGACTCCCCCTCCCTCGCACCGATGCCCCCAGGACCCTCCTGGGCTGTGGATAGGGCCTCTGATCCCTGAGCAGGATTATGAGCGGCTGGAGGACTGTGACCCCGAGGGGTCCCAAGATTCACCCCTCCACGGGGAGGAGCAGCAGCCCCTGCTCCATGTGCCCGAAGGGCTCCGAGGTGAGTGTGGGTGTGGGGCTGCGAGGGGAGCACGCTGGGGAGGGCCTGGGGGCTCCCGAGGATGTGAACTGGGCGCTCAGGGGAGAGCCAAGTCCCAACACTCTCCCCCCTGTGCCCAGGCTCCTGGCACCACATCCAGAACCTGGACAGCTTCTTCACCAAGATATCCTTTGTGCTCGGCCTGGCAGCACTGGCGTGGGAGGGCCCTTTGGTGCTGGTGCCATTCTTGGCCGGCGGCTCTCAGGGCGCAGTGGGTTGCGGAAGTGAGGGAGAGGTGTCTTCGAGAAAGGCCCTTCGTGCCTCAGGCTTCTTTCTTGACGCACCGCCACATCTATAGCTACCACCAGAGGAATGGCTTTGCCTGCATCCTGCTGGAGGATGTCTTCCAGCTGGGGTGAGATGCTTGTCCCAAGCCCCAGACTCTGTCACCTTGCTCCCTCAGCAGTGCCTGCTGCTTTTAGTCCGTGTCGCACCCCACCCAAGCAGCCCAGAGGCTCGGCAGGGAGGGGAGGACCCTCAGGGCTGACCTGGAGGTTGGGGCAGGACCCTGCCCTGCCCTCAGACCTGACCACTGCACTCCCTGTCTCCCAGACAATTCGTCTTCATTGTCACCTTCACAACCTTCCTCCTTCGTTGCGTGGATTACAACATTCTCTTCGCCAACCAACCGAACAACAGGACGACACCTGGCTTGCTCCACGGCAAAGTCACCTTGGCAGATGCCATCCTGTCCTCCTCCCAGTGTGCCCAGCGGTGAGTGACAGCTGGTGGGGGGAGCGTGGAAGGGGGAGACGAGCAGACAAGCAGACAAGCACCGCCCCCCCGTCCTTTTGTCCTTTGGTCTAAATCAGCAGTACTCCCAAGTTTTTGGTCTCAGCACACGTTAAATACACTTAAACTTGATCAAGAACGCCCAAGAGCATTTGTTTATGAGGTATATTTACCTCATTTGAGACCTAAGCTGGGAATAGCTTTAAAATCTAAGAATACACCAGCACACGTTCCATCAGCTGCCGACGTGGTGTCACACACGTAGCTTCTGGAAAAGTCCACTGTATGCTCATGAGAGAATGAGCACGAAAACGGCAGAAAACCTTCGTCTTACCTGAAAAAAGTTGGGACCTTGCCGACACTTGTAAGGGCCTCAGGGTCTCCCAGGGCCCACACGCTGAGAGCTGCTGGTGGAGCTGGGTCCCTCTCTCTGTGACTTTTCCCTCGCTCCCCAAGTCTAGTCTCCCTTTCTATTGGGCCCCCACTTTCTCTCTGCTATCTGTCCCACCCCACACAGGATCCGCTCCAGCCCCCTGCTGGTTTTCCTTCTGATCCTGGCTGCAGCCTTCTGGCTGTTACAGCTGCTTCGCTCAGTCTGCAACCTCATCAGCTACTGGGACATCCAGGTGTTTTACAGGGAGGCCCTGCACATCCCCCCGGTGAGCTGGGCAGGCGTGTCTGTGGAGGGGTGCCTTGTCAGGGGTGGGGACAAAGAATAGGGAGGAGCGGGGGCTGCACAGATGGAAGGGCCCACTGGAAAGCAGGCAGAAGGCCTCGCTGACGCCTGCCCAGGCCCTGAGTAATGTTAGGAGAAGAGGTACCACCACTTACTTCTAAGGCTTGGTCCTTACCCGAGTGGAGTTTTGTTGACTTGGATTACAGCTGATGATTTAGGGTCACATGCTTGTGCTCCAAACAGTGGATATTTAGAGGAAGGGCGGTCATCCGACTTTACAGGGCAGGAGGAATTTGGGTGGGGCTGGGAAGGATAGGAGGTGGGAAGGCATTCGAAGGCCCGATGCAGGAGGTGGGGGGGTGGTGAGCATCTGTGGGCAGCAGTGAGGAGTGGACCCACCAGCTTGCAACTGAGTGGTCAGGCCCCGTTGGGTGATATCCCCACCCACCCAGCCACCCCCCCACTTTCTGGCCTCCCTCACGATTGCAGTGAGCCACTGTGTGGGCCCCTTCACTGTCCTAGTTCATGCTTTGCCCTTTCTTTCCTCCCCATCTCGTTCGTGCTCCTTCTTACTCTGGTCTCCAGTTCGTTCTTTAAGGCTCAGCTCAAAGGCTGTCTTCTGCAGCCTGCTTCCCTTGCTCCCCTCAGAAGCGCAGAACCTTCCGCATGGCTCT